CTACAGCCCCAGTGGGCCTAGGCCTACCTCCATGAACTTCTCCGTTCACTTCGGTTTTTCTAGATCTTACACATTCGGTACGACTCCTTGGGCGGGTGATCAGCTCGTCGCAAGGCCTCTACCTGTACACAAACACAGAAAAACGCACACACACAAACTAAACATCCATGCCCTGAGTGGGATCCGAACCCACGATCCCGGTTTCCAAGCGAGCGAAGACAGTACATGCCAACTTTACGCTTACCTTCACGAAATTAAATTATGACTACAAGTGTAGATGAAATACGAATTAAGTATTATAATGTGGTGTTAAGATTATCGGCAAATTGGATCACGTAACACAAATGCCACAATCAGCAAGCCAACTGATGAAACAGGGCCACTTCCGGTACACAGATTTACAGTTTGTATTCCGAACTTGATTGCAGGCTTACAGTAAAATACATGTACATACATGAAGCATTGCATGCCATCGCGCAAATACGGATCAATTAAAAGCATCACACGTGTGAATCCTGTATACTAATTTCCAGTTCAACGGAAAAACATTTCCACACAACAAAAATACATTGGCTTTATTTATAATTCTAAGAGCGTGGCGAAGCTTCTATGACTTCCTGTTAGCAATCTACTAAGGTAGGCTCCTCGCCGTTAACATTCACGTCGATTCTTTGTTGCTGGGCCTATTGAGAGCCCAGAGCGTGATAGGTTTTGTCGCGGGGCGAGCGAAGTCTAATGGCCTCTGCTACTACAGCGAGGCGATGCGTGGGGCATTCTAAAGACAACGGAACGAGTCTGTACACACGCAGGCGCACACATACGGAATCAATGCGCTCCAATTCCCTGACCACTTAGGGCACAATGGTAACTACATGTGGAGTTTCCTTGGACATTACGAGCACTGCATTTTATCCACATAGTCTGTTATGAGTTTCGAATGATTCTACGAACAAAGAGCAATAAATTTCCTATTCAACACCAACCAATGTTTGCAATGCAGACGTTATACACACTGTGAGATATAAAATTAGATGAATTCCGGCCGCACCATAGCTCAAGCGGATAGTCGCTGGCTTCCCACCGCGGCGGCCCGGGTTCGATCCCGGGTCTGGTCAAGTGGGATTTGTGGTGGACAAGGTGGCGCTGAGGCAGGTTTTCTCCGAGTACTTTGGTTTCCCCTGCCAATCTTCATTCCACCATTGCTCCACAATCACCCTCACCTATCATCCGTGGCTGGTACAATAGGCCAGAAGTGGCCGCAGTACAAGGGACTTAGTCCTACCCCACTAGCAATAAAAAAAAATAGATCAATTCCAGACTGAGAAGACAGTAACTGTCTACAAATCGTTGTATTATGACTTAAGTTTGATCACTGTGGTCGCGGTGCAAGGGCCGAGAAAGCCCACGCCTTATACATTCAAGTTTTAACTTCTTACTGCATTTAATTAAACATCCAGCCATTTACACGCATGGACTAGAGAACGTATTTATAATATTTCAACCAGATGGCTCTATCTTCAGAGCAAAAAATTGGGGGAATATGTTTCTTCCAAATAGATAACACAGCGTCATACAGAGAAAGACCAGTACGCAAGTGTTCATCGCCGTGTAAACATCATATTTCACTCCGACAAAAATATGAGTTACAACGATGTCTCCTTTGAAAATGTCACGACGTTTCGGAGTAATATCGCTTCCATCTTCCGGATCGAAGAGCAGTAACAGAGCCAGACGTCAAGATGGCTGACGTAAGAACATCAAATCAAAAATACAATTTGATAAGACATCAGATTCTCAGGCAAAAGGTTTCAGTTGCACTGAGGCGCACAGTATCTCTCCATAACCATAAAGTAGTTATAATTACTATGTGAGTGTCCTCGTTTACATCTGCTACTTTCGCACTCAGCCCCTCCTTCGTTTCTTCGGTCTGCGTGAAGTACAATTCGCCGCAACTTGTAGGATGTGCTGAGACCCTCCACTCTGAACAATTTACCATAAATTAAAAAGGATGCCACGTCATCTGCATCCTTTCTATTACAAAAGACGGAAAGGGTATTTAATTGTCAACGGGCGTTCATGACAATAATCCAGCGCTTCTTGCTGTCCTTACACTTGACTAATCTCACCACCATGGCGGCTCCACGGGTTTCTGGAGTGGATAACTGAGTGCTAATATGAGACAAGAAACAAGGAATTTGCATGACTTTGCCATGTGCTTCTGAAGATATTATTAATCGACAAAATGGCGACAGAGGGAAATCTAATATTCTTATCAATCCTCATCCCCCCCCAAAAACTGAAATATTGCAAGAAACTGCGATGAAAATGAATACTAACGCAGCATGTAGATTTAAAGCGAATATTTTATTTCGCAATTTGAGAATAGTAAACACGTCCAATTGTTTCGGTCCAACGACATTTATTAATTTCAATGTCTCCAGCCTGAAATTCGTCGAAATACTGATTAAAATTCAGCTTCTGCGTCACAAAAATCAAACTAATCAGTTAATGCTATTTGAGGGACTTACTGTTGCACGTTCTGCTGAGACCTATGAGCCGAAAAAGTTGGGCATTAGGGGACAATGTTAAACCTGCATTAATGTATGTANAACAATTTTAATATTTTTAACATTTAATATTTATCAATATATAAGATAAATATATATTTTAGTTATTTTAATATGAAGACGGCAAGGCATGCAGTGAACTAGTTTAACGTAAATCGAATAAGCACCTGAAGATGGCACTTTTGTGCCGAAACATGTAGTGCGAGAGAGAGGAGTGAGATAGATGAGTGTATGCACTGGAAGACGGTTGAAATATATCATGGACTTAAATCAGTACAACAGGACGCTAAAACATAACACAACCTAAGATACCACTCATTTTGTTTAGAGAAGATAATATACAGTTTTAAATAACAACAATTTCTTAGGACTGTAACAAAACATTCTGCAGACGAGAAGCATCTACTAGCCTTCACGACGACGAGCAGTTACAATATATGACATGCGCATTACAAGAAGCATAGGGTCTGGCATTGTGTCATTGCATCCAGATAACCATACAAAATCTAGCCTAGAGGCAAACGACGCCATAGAAGGCTGAGGAAAACACAAATATTTGGCGATGATACTCAGTGAGATCTCAGGTACTGTCAGGATTGCTACTTTCTGGGGCACGGTGCATATTTCCATTTGCATAAACAACGCATTACGTGGAGCCACGTCTTAAAAGTTAATGGGACGGAAGGCAGAAATTTGAAATTCAGAGCAGAAAGAGTTCTGGGCGATATGCAGTCTCGACGGCGACGACGCTCCAGGTTTGTATCCGGGAGGTGCTCGGTTCAAATCTCGACCAGGACATCGTTGTCCTGGTTGTGGCTTTTACGATTTTCCTCAGCCTATTTCCGATGCCTGGTTCCTTCCTAAACCTATTTAATTATTCACAAATCATCCTAACATTCGTGTAGGTGGTAAACTATACCACAGGCATGAATGGTGCATTATGGGACAAAAGGTTTACAATGAAAATTGAACAAAATATTTACTTTACTCTTTTAAATGCTGTATGCTTATTATACGGTTCAGAAGAAAGATTTTAAAAAAATGCAAATAAGAATTGTTGGCAGTGTAAATGGGATTTTTGTAATCAGCGAAGTGGAAATGAAAGACAAAATTCCAAATAACAGTATTTATAAAAAACATAAAAACAAAATCTTCGTGGTTTTAGTCCGCAAGCGAACTATACCGACCGAGCGACCGCCGCTTGTTCGCGAAGTTAGTGCCAACTTCAGAGGACAGAGTGTGTCGCGTGGTCAGCGCAACGGATCCCCAGGGCCGTTAATTTCGGTTTCTAGACCGGAGCCGTTATTTCCTTAAAATAGCTCCTCAATTATCCTCACGAGGCTGAGTGGACCCTGTTCCAGACCCACTACTTCTCAGAAAATCTGGTAGCGCAGGGGATCGAACCCGAACCTCTGGATCTGTAGCCATGAACTTTGACCACTAGACCACAGAGGCGGTCTATATAAAAATTATAATTACATAATGTTAATTTGGACGACATAAAACACAATCATGAACGGGGTAGGCATACATCCAAAGAACGGCTGAGAGCAGACAGACCAAACACGGGGTCGAATGGACACCATCAAGAAGGTACGAAAGGGGAAACCGGAGAATTCAGAGGATGAAAGAAACTCTGATGCAGTGACACAGAAAGAACATGAGCAAATGCAACAGATGGATGGTAATGGGAAGCAGACAGTGACGTTGCTAACCAGATAGCTACATGTGGTAATTCCGTCCATTGCCTCACGCAGATGATTTTGTTGCTGATAACTTTTATATCTTTCAAGAGACAGCAGAAGTGGAGGGGGCTTGTAAATAAATAATTGGTTGTTCTCCTCGAGATTGTGTAGCGAAGCCATTGCAGTACAGCCTGAAAGAAGCCTTCGAGCACTTTAATAACAAGAAGAGCGGCGAACTTGATTAAATTTTCTGTTACTGATATTGAAATAACTTCTTAGCATCTCATTATAATGCATGTTTCATTTCTCAGTTGCAACGCCAAGAATTCACAAGAACTTTTTCTTACTTGAAACTTTCCAGATTCGTTAACAAGACAGACTACGAGCTCTAAACATGGAATTTTACATTAATCTTTGTTCATTTCCGTTCTTCTTGTTCGCAACTGCGGGTTCCTCATTTGACGTTGTTCGCGAAGACGCAACTTTCCTTGTACGTGAAGGAATGTCTCATTCCAACCCCATATACCAAGGCACCAGTACTTTAATATCAAGAACTATACCAAAAATGTGAGATTTTACTGGGCTGTGAACATCAAACCGGAAGTGTTTTCCTAAGCTTTACCGCGCGTAACTGCAGGATATGTACACACAGTCCTACACAGCCTATATGCATGCAAGCAATACATACACACACAAATAAATAAATATATACACACATTCATACATATATGCATACATACATACACACCGTCATATCGAAGATTAGGTATCACTCCAGATTGGTATGCAGAGTATCTCTGGTTCAGACATCAGTCACGAGATCGGCTATCAGGCTGTTTTCCGCAATTTTCTTCAGCCCCTACATGAAAATGCGGGGTCATTCAAATCAGTACACAGGTTATTTCCTTCCACAGGTTTCCCAACTATTTATTATAACGTCATTTGACGCCATAAATTCCGAACTACTCCCGATGCCGCCGCGTATGTACACACTGCAGTCACCGGCCGAGTTCAGGTCTCTCACAAGGTCAGGACGCTGTGCGCATGCGCCGCTGTTTTCCTCTTCGCAACGAAATCATAATATCACAATACCTGCACTAAGCAAGGAAGCCCTGAGTTTATACTTCTCTTTGGTATGGCAGAGCAGGGCAGAGCTCAAGCGCGCAGACCGCGGAAATGTGTGCACACGTCAGCACAGTACGTCATACACAGGCTCTGCCACCAGTCTGCGTAAATCTGTCGGTGGAAGGGGTAACAGTTGTCATTATTTGGGGAATTATTCTAACAATATTATTAGTAGTAGTGGGGGCACGCAGTAGCGTAGTTGGTTGAGTCACTATGCTACAAGCCGGAAGGTCGCTGGTTCAAGTCCCGATGAGGTGGATTTTTTCAATTGGCCTAATCCTTCCTGCCGCACCATCTCCCTGGGGTCGACTCAGCCTCTAATAGAAATGAGTTCTAGGAATCTTCCTGGGGGTAAAGGGCGGCCGGCGCGTAAGGCTGACAACCTTACCGCCATCTTTTGAGCCGATTGTCTAGATAATGTGGGAGCCTCAACATCTCACTACCCTATGGGACTCCACGGTCTGCTACAGGGATACCTTTACTTTTTAGTAGTATTAGTAGTAGTAGTGGTAGTAGTAGTAGTAGCAGTAGCAGCAATAGAAGTGGAATTAAAGTTACTCCTGCCCTCAGTTAACCAACGCGCCTCAAAGAAATATGAGAGAATGGAGGTGAAACTCCAGCTGCTCTTAATCTTAATCTGGCTACTTAAGCCCTGGGAAGGGAGCCCCTGGATACGAGGTTGGGCGAACCTCAGAGCCGGTATGGACACTGTGACTACAATAATCCCTACCAATGTCAATAATCGAATCGTTGAGTAGTACTGACACAATATTNTATGTAGTAGTTAGTGTTTAATATTCTAGAGCACCATGTTTATAAAATATCTGCCACAACTGACAGATATCACACCATGTCACAATTACAAAGATGAATCGATTGCTCTTCGCTATTTCTGAGAATCATACTAAACCCACGGACATGTACGGAGGGCAAAAAAACGCAGAGCGTCTTCCAATACTGAAATGGGCGTGCCACAATTACAGCAATGATTGCTTCTTGAAAGCTTGTAGAAGGTTAGAGTTGAGCCTGTTTAAGGTGAAGTGAAGTTTGAGGTTCCCACATCTGTGAGTGCCAACATTACTCTCTTCCTAGTGGTCAGAGTTCCTGGCTACAGATCCAGAGGTCCCGAGTTCGATTTCCGGCACTACCAGATTTTCTGAGAAGTCGTGGGTCTGGAACGGGGTCCACTCAACCTCGTGAGGATAAGTGAGAAGCTATTTCAAGGAAATAGCGGCTGCGGTCTATAAAACCGAGATTAACGGTCGTGGGGATCCGTTGCGCTGACCACGTGACAACATCTATCAGCAAAATTTGGCGTTAACTTCGATGACAAGCTCGGTCGGTATAGTTCGCTTGCGGACTATAGGCTACGGAGTTTGTTTTTTATCTTGGTGGACAGGTACCTATCTACCTAACCAAACAGCGATACATCTTAGAAGATAGTAAACTTGATATTAAGGTCTGACGAGATGAGATAGGGTCGCGTACTGAAAACATCAAAAACTCCGTGTTCTCTTCTAAATGTACGCTCCAACCTCATCCTCTCCTGTTATAAAACTGATTTGACACAGTGAAGGCAAATTTAACTGCCAGTCTGCTAAAGTTGTTTATAGCCAGCGCTGAAACGACACGCCAAACGTTTAGTGCCATTCTCAATTTGGCGTGCATGGTCCCTCACGCAAATAAAGTTGACGTTCCAAGTCTTCGTCGAAACAAACTTCATTTGATCGCTGTAAAATTACAGAGCAGACGAGCCTGCGAGAGAGCGTACGTTTTCCTTATATTTTGAAATATCACTCAAACAACATTAAAATTTACTCAACTCTTTCAAGCTTTCGTTCACCTAATAATACTTAAGAATTTAGTTCTTACCTCACAGAAAACATATTGCTCAACATTATAAGAAACAAACTGGTATACTCTGTTTAAGAAATTAATCTTTATTTATCCTCAACACCATACGAAACCTTAAAAATACTGTGACGTGCTGCCTGAAATCCGGACTATAAGACGTCCATCACTAGTCAACGGCTAGAAATTCCTAGGCAGCGATGCCTAAGAAATCGTTGCCAAGGGGTCAGTCGTAATGTGACTTAGACTTGGAGACCAGCAGAGTTCTTATCCGACTAGAACAGAAGAGTTCTTATTCGACTTGAGCAGGAGTGAGTTCGTATCCTACAAGGGACCAAGGACAGTTGAGCTCCGAGCAGAGCAGAAGACACTTCACCTAGATCAGCGGTGCAAGTAATTGTAATAGTCAAGAGGAAACGTCTAACGACGTTATAAATTGAGGATAGTTGTATTTGCGAGTGTAAAAAGTGACTGTTCAATAAATATTCGCTCAAATCCGAGACCCATGTAAATTTCTTGTCGCGTTGCCTAGCAAACACGCAACAATACTATGGGCTAAATGCAGTGGAACGTACATTCCACACACACTCGCTCTATGTATATATATTACACGTGTATGGTTCTCGCCTCTGCGTACAGTTCTCCAAAGTAATCATTTCCTTTCACGTCTTCCGACTAATTTTCCCATTGAGCTACATGCCCAACCCATCTCATTTTCCCTGATTTATCTCTTTAATAATAACGCCTACTGGAGCCAAAAATCCTATTCTCACACTGTGCATTATATATTTCAGCTGACATATATGGTTTGTCCTGTTTTCATATTTCTGTAACTCAAAAGTTATCTGTTTGAAAGTTCGTTGTTCAAATCATAATTGCTGCCAATCTACCCTTTAAAAACATTCAATATCACCCTTAATATTAAGGTTCATGTTCAATAAATTAAAAGGTAAATAACGCAGAAAATCTGTCGGTTTTCGGAAACACTGTTCAAAATTCCCTTCAGCAACTTCGTGATTTATTCCATAAAAGTTCGATTAATTACCCAATTCGATTTATTTCGACAAGTGATGAACTCTAACCTCACCATGTCACTAGCAGAAGCTGCATTTGTGTTCCGTTATGCTTGACCATGCATCAATTTCAATTGATGTTCTAAGCATATGCCTGACTGTGACATTTATGTAATTAGATCGAAAGTTGCATGCCGTGCGAAAGAGACTGTAGGGAAACTGCGTAGCCTAGTTGTAGCATTATTCGCAGCAGCAATTTCTCATCTGTTATTCATGAGAACTGTTCCTGTATAAGTTCTCAGAAAGTGAGAGGAAACATAATAATAATAATAATGAAGAAAGCCGTTTTCTGGAATGTGGCGCCGTGTGGATATTGTGTTAACCGACGTTTCGGAGGAACGCATCGCCTCCAATTTTCAGGGCATAAGAAATTCGTGAGCGATAAAGCAGGGTGAGGTGGCTCCGAAACGTCGGTTAACACGATATATACACGGCGCCACATCGCAGAAGACGGTTTTCTTATAGCAATCGCCGTGAAAACCTCATATATTTTACAGTAAGAATGAAGTTAGTCCATATCACGAACTAATATTGAAATTCCATAAACCGAGTTGGTTGGTCTAGCTGTTATGCTTTTCACTTGTATTCGGGAGATGCTCCTCGCGGTTCTTCTCGCTCGCTCCAGGAAGATGCTAGGATAGTATCTAAGAACGCAAACCTTAATCTCGTTTCCAGTTCATCAGCATTTCTATCTTTCGAAGTTAAAAATCTCGCTACAGATAGCGTCGTGATATTATGACTGGCCACAGAAAGAACGACACGCTTCGTTCAGTCATTTTCCCAAAACGAATAGTTCATTTCAAAGCCTACACAAATTATTCCTAGCATCTTCATTTCTTGTCACCCATACTTCTCAGTGGCTCTTTAACGTTAGATTTTGTAGAAGTAATTTTGAACTGCCGGTCACAGTAGCCGAGCGGTGTAAAGCATGCACTGTCTTCGCTCGCTTGGAGACCGGGATCGTGGGTTCGGATCTGTTTCCTGTGAGGTACGAACTGAATTCTTATATATTATTCTTATACACTGCCGGTCACAGTAGCCGAGCGGTCTAAGGCACGCACTGTCTT